AGTACTTCGTATATCCATTCCATAAAGTCGGTCCTTGCAGATTTACCAATGATTCTCTATTGGATTTAATTCAAAAGGGTTTCCTTGCCAGTCTAATACTTTGATATGCTCACTGGTAAGGCTTGCCAGTGTCTTCGTGCAGCGTTACAAGCTTTCGTACGATTCCTTGGAGTGACGTCCATCACAGACAATAGCCGTAGGACAACTAATCGACAATCGAGACAATAGTGCCTGGGCGTGAAAAAAAAATCTAATACAATCACGGATGACGCAATATTTTTCAAGGTAAAAAAAATTCCTCATAAACCCCCAAAATAGATTCATATTACTGCGCAGCACTGCAAATGATCTAATCTGAGGAATAAATAAAAATCGATTACACACTGTCACTCCAGTTGGTCTAAAACTGACTGAAAGAAAGGAAATTAAAGCGGTTGTTTCAATTAATTTGCACAAGGATGTATATCTGCTTCTTTGGAACGTAGTTTAGATTAGATCTAAGTCTTTCGCTATATTAATTAAATGTTTTTTTTATCTTATAAGTTTTATATTCGACATTAAATACCTCATCAGTGGTTGATGTATCGTTGAATTAATCAAACTAACCTAACCTATTTTAAGCTTCTGTCTATATTTCTGAGATGAGGTATTATGTACACTATTTACATTATTCGGACTATTGTACTCATCTTTGTCGCCACGTTTATCACAACATTTCGGCCGTTGTACGCTCCGGCCTTCCTCAGGTGGTGCCTTATGTGAAGGGGTTATCAGAAGAAATACAAAGGATCTGCGATCCGTATAACATCAGGACAACCTTCAAAAGCCGGAAGACACTTCGGAGATATCTCTCTCGAGTAAGACCCCCCCCCGTGGAGGAGAACATGACAAAAGACAGTGTGTACGCTATCTCGTGCAGCTGCGGAAAGAAATATAAAGGGGAGACAGTCCGCCCCCTTAAGATAAGGCTTCAAGAACACCAAAAAGCTGTAACACCAGGTGAAGTGGAAAAATCAGGCGAGGCTGACCATATATGGAGAGAAAAGGGAGATCACCGCCCTCTGTGGGGCCAGGTTGAAATCATAGACAAAGAACATCATTGGAAATTTCGTAAACTTAAGGTATCAGCACATATGCTAGGCCACAAAAATCTCCTGAGCCGACCAAGCATAGAAATAAATACAATATGGGAACCAGTAATAAGGAGTGCCAGAGAAAAGCGATAACAACAACCAAAATTGCAATATGAGCTCTTGTAAAAAACATAAATGTTAACACAAAAATTGCAATATGAGCACTGGTAAAAATGATTGCTGAAGACATTAGGTTTATAATACGCAGAAATTCATACACAGATGTCCTCAAGGACACATGACACAGTGGACCCAAAGAGTGTGAGTTCAGTACCTGGTTAAGGCGGTGTAGAACTTTGATCGGGGGGTAACTGTCATCCATTAGGCATGGCACGTGGAACTAGAACAGTCTGCTCTATTGAGCGAAATAAAGGGTTCAGTTCGACATTCTAACTACCTGCAGAAGGCCGGTGCGTACAACAACCGAAACGTTGTGATAAACACGGCGACAAAGATGAGGACAATAGTCCGAATAATGTAAATAGTGTCTGTTTTAAGCTTCTAAATAGTTTTGGATAGAACATGACACCGTCTGCTATTGAATGTTATCATCACATAATTTCTTCTAATTCTCTCAACCTAATATCATGAACTGTCTTTTGCTGCAAAATCAATATATTTAATTGACTCCAAATTGTTAAATTGTGGTTGTAACACTGCTAATTACTTGACAAAGGTCGTTGTCTTCCTAAGGGACCACATCTTGTTATCGCTTTTTGAATTTAGCAGTTTTCTACCTCTGGGTTATTGGAGACAGATGTTAGAGGATGACGTTTTCATACGACAGGTGATGCGAGATGGTTTAAAACCCAAATCTGAGTTCTCTGGATGTCAACCTACCTAATCAACTGTCATCTAAAATGAAGCCTTACGCCATCACACTTCAATTTTCTGATCAGATATTTTCTTCTTTTTTTTCTTTCTTCCCAATCTACGATTTCCAAAATATCAAATCATGACATGCGTCACACGAGGCTTAGCTGCCTTAATGTCATTGTCTTCAACTTGCGTCATGTTAATTATGCACCTTGTGACAGGACAGTTCACAGTGTGATTTTCACGTGTGCTTGGCACCAACCTGCATTCCTTTACCTCTAATTAATTACAAAATTGCATCACATAACGAAGTTTTCGAAAAAAAAAAAAATCAAATTAAATAAATAAACGCTCACGACTATGAATTAGAATTTTTATGTATTCTGAACCATCTGTGTACCAACATATTATAAAGGCAGCACTGCTAAAGATGTGGCGTCGTGGATATCGGCTAGGACCAAGAAATCGGAGGTACGTGTTCGAATTCCACTAGAGTTGCATTCACTTATACCCAAATACACACGAGAAGAGCATGAATCCATCTCATTTCCTGACAGTCTGCTCTGCTATTTAACCCGTAGATGAGGGGGGAGGGATGGAAGAAGACCATTTCGAAGGTTATTTGTCCGAAAGGGAATGTAACAAATTCGACCGGAATTTGAACTTGGCACGCTGATCACACTTTCCCCGTACCTATACTACATATGTTTAATTATGACTGATTCAATACTGTGAATTAATTTTATTCCAGGAATGGATATTTTAATAGAACGTAAATAGATCAACAACTGGAATTCTAAAGCGGTAGACTTTTTGCCAAACAAGGCTATAGGATCCAGTCTGTCTTGCTCTTCAACCCACATTGAATGTTTTAACAGATTTAGAACATTATCAAATATTTAGAAGAATCTATCGCCCTCCTTGTATTTTCTAAACCGCCGCTTGTTTTTTATCATAACACGTTATTGATAACAGTGTATCCATCTATTCTTGTTTCACCCCTGTAAGCCCTTACAACAACCTCATTCTTTTATTCTATAACTTGAGTAGCTCTTGGGTCTTGTTTGTTCAGGGCTTCGGCTGCTCGTGCAGGAGATTTGTGACAACTTCTCCTATATCAGCTCTTCCCCCCTTCCATCAATTCTCACCTATCTAAGCATCACGACTTGGTGGGTGGCAATACGAACTTAACGCCACGGATCCGCGACACAGACACGTCCGTCTCCTGTCAAAGGCGATAGAGAACTAACCAACACCCACTGCAACCGACACTGAGCATGACTGTTAATGTAGACCAGCACCTGGATGTTAAGAGACGGATTAATACCTTTCCCAAGGTTATTTGCGCGTAAAGGAATGTACCAAACTCACCTGGAATTCGAACTCGTTGAATTCACTTACGTGCAAATCGCAGAAATATCAGAAATAAAAAAAAAAAACAGTTTTGTTCTAAGATATTGGTACAATTTTCCTTAAATGTTTTGTTCTTATTATGAAAAGACGTAAAAAAAACTGAGAATAAAAGCAAAAACCAAATGATCAAAACAAATGAAAAACTGATATGGCGGGTGGGAAACAAGGAAGACATTTAAAAAAAAATCTTTCGTCTATTGAACATTTACCGCTTTTTCTAAAACGAAGTCATATGATCACAATTTGGCAAGAACCTTGAATGATGGCCATTGATTCACTCTTGTTTTTTTTATTGGCTTCTTTTTTTTATATATATAAGCAAATAATCGATATAGGACGAATAGGTTCATGTCGGTCGCTTTTTTCCGTTTTTTTTCCTCTGTTGTGAAGCATTATTATTTTTTTCTCGTTTCATCTTAGGTTTAAACGGGTTTTCTTCATTGATATAAGAAAAATAAAGAAAAAAATCTGTACCTAAATATAGAGGAGTTTTTTGGCATAACTATATTTTAGGTCAAATTACAGGTAAGCCAAACGTATGTCATTAAGTTGGTTGCAGACAAAGTGAACTTATTTTACACCTGATGAAATATTGGCGAACGAGCCAGACATATGAATATGATTATGATTTTCTTGATATTATCTTAATAATAATAATAATAATAATAATAATAATAATAATAATAAAAATAATAATAATGATAAAAATTATTATTATTATTATTATTATTATTATTATTATTATTATTATTATTATTTTTTGATATTTGTTGTACAGACATTTCCTTCCGGATCAACACCAAGACCGACGATCAGAATCTCTTCCTGATATTTTGCACTGAATATTTTTACATAAAAAACAAAGATCACACACATTTTACATAGATAAAGCTCTTCGTAAGATGTGAGATATATGTGAGCACAATTTTTTGTATGTCCTTAAGGTATGAAATTACAGGTAAGGCAAACGTATGTCGTTAAGTTGATTGCAGACAAAGTGAACTTATTTTACACCTGATGAAATATTGGAGAACGAGCCAGGCATATGAATATGATTATGATTTTCTTGATATTATCTTAATAATAATAATAATAATAATAATAATAATCATTATCATTATCATTATTATTATTAATATTATTATTATTATTATTATTATTATTATTATTATTATTATTATTATTTCCTTTGGTTTTTGTTGTACAGACATGACCTTCCGGATCAACACCAGAGAGCAACAATCAGCATCTCTTCCTGATTTTTTCCACTGATTTTTTAAAAATAAAGAACAAAGATCACACAAATTTTACATCGATAAAGCTCTTCGTAAGGTGTGAGATATATTTGTGAGCACAATTGTTTGTATGTCCTTAAGGTATGTGCAATAAGGAATCTTTTCAATGAATATCGGAACCTTTCCTTTCAATCCGAGGGAGAAAACTACAAATGGAATTATTGATACCATCATTTGCCACGATTATTATTATTATTATTATTATTATTATTGTGCTTACCCCTCACTTCATTAGTTCGTATGAACGTTACGCCCTGCCAATGCGTGGTAGATAATAATTTCGTTTTGTTCGAATGGAAAAAGATGCTACTTGGTTTCAGTGAGAAAATGCAAGAAGAAAGACAGTAAGAGGGAAGATATAATTGAAGATAGATAGATAGATAGATAGATAGATAGATAGATAGATAGATAGATAGAATAAGATTAAGCTGATAGGAACAGATACTACACTTCGGTCTTAGCCAAAAGGACCAGAAGCCATTGGATTTTCTTTCCGGCTCTCATTGGCAGGATGTGATACAAGTTTAGTTTAATGTTGGTTGAGCTGGCATCGGTTTTACTGCCAATCCCCCCCTCTTCTTTAATGCAGTGAGGTGGGTACTGATGTGGGTAGCTGTCCACCGAGACCGGGCATATCTCAGTATGACAGACAAAACAACTGAGAACTGAAATGGCCGAGAAACGATGGCGACCTTGCTAAACGCTCCATTTTAAAGACGCACAGTATGGAACCATGGAAACCGAGTAAGGTAATCGCCAAAAATCCAGTTACCATAAATAAAAATATCTTCCGCTGATTGATTTTTAAATTATTAATAAGAGAAATATTCGTAAGACGAGGATTTGTCTAATTAATATTATAAGGTATAGTCAAATCATATCATAATTTTTAAGGTGCTTTTTTATATTTTCTGTCCCATCTATAGTGAGAAGGGGGATAAATCAACTCAAGTAAATTCATGAGTGATTATTTCGCTTATTTTAAATAAATTTATTATCAAAATGAACCGTTTAATAATTCAGTGTTTTTATTAGTACGTTTCTAAGATTGCAACCTTATTTGTTCAAGCCTTTCACGAGAGGCGCTTATATAATTTGTCTACTAAGTGACCATCTTGCTTCAATTTAGTCATTAAACAGACTTTGTCCTCGCCGTCTTTCTTGTCGCCGTCTTTCTTGTCGCCGTCTTTCTTGTCGCCGTCTTTATCATCGTATTTGTCTTTCTGCTGCTAAACTTTTCCTTCCGAGAGATATTTCCATTTCACTGTTGTATTAGGCACACAGAATTTTAAAAATAAAAAATAATATTGAGCAAACTGTGATTTATATATTACCGGGAGTAATCAATGGATCATACATGCCATTGAACGTCTAAAAATATAAAGAGAACGGTTTAAGGGAACGGTCCATTGGCCTCTGTTTTAGTCGTGAATTCTTTATTTCCGTTTTATTGAATCTCAGCTATATTGTTTCAAGACTTTTGTTTCACTGGATTTCACTATTAAAACTTTGTAACAACTGCTGTCGTTTTTTTAACAGCACTAGTAAAATATATACCGTATTTGTCAGCATATAAGGCGCACTTTTTTTTACTAAAAATACCTATTAAAATTACACTGCGTCTTATATGCCATATGTAGGTTTAAAATTCGAGATAGTCGGTCGAAATTAGCTCCCTGGTAACTACTATTAGCTTATACTTAAACATGAGGGATCAATGCAACACGTGGATGGCAATGCCTGATCACGACCTTAAACTTAATGGAAAGGAAGATGACGCATTATTTAACGACGATAATAGTAGTATTGCAAATGAGTATCAGAGTTTTGATAACGAAGACGACGGATTTTATGTATTTGAAGATGAATAAAATTTTAATGGTAACTGTACTGTTTTGCTCAATTGTAATAATTGCTTGATTTTTATTTTATTTTATTACCTTTGGATATATAGTTTTATAGGTTCATTCCTATTATTTTTCGTTTAATTGTAATCATGGCTTGTTTAACCAAAATAATACCCCTTTTTTTATTTTCCCTGCTGAAATTGGGTTGCGTCATATACATCCGCGCGTCTTATATGCCCTCAAATACGGTAATTCATCTCTATCAGCACTCGAGAATGAGCAACTAAACGCAATGTAGGATACTGCCATATTGACTGTTTGGCGAACAGTCGCCCTCATATAAGAAGAGTAGCCTTGAATAGATCCTGATAAATGTTGAGCTAATTTGGGTTAATAACATCGTCAAACTGGAGATGACAGGCGAAAATAAACAGCGGTAGCTATATCAGGCTGGGTAAATAAAAAATTATACAAATTCGTAGTTCAAATAGTCGCTTTGTAGTTGGTGCACACGGAACTATTTACAAGAATCTCTGCTTCTTTCAAAACGACTTAGGGATACCTAGCATCATTGGGAGTGTGAAGATGGCAGCGCTGCTTAGAACAGATATGCTGACTAAAGTGCTGTGTCTCTGAGTTATGATCAAAATCACTCGGTCGGAATATCGCCGGGTTGAGGAGGATAGCAAATAATAATAATGATAATAATAATAATAATACAATACAGGGTACGACGGGTAAATTGTCGTCATTTTATAGTTTTAATTTCGCGCATGCGCGTTGATTGTTTTGATTTTTTCGACTGAACGTTACGGCAGAGTCAGTTGGACACTGTCTGCGAGAAAAAAAGAGCACCATGAACACAATTCACTCTTCCAGAAATTTGGAAACGGCATGTGGTAAAGCTTGACATTCGGACTAGAAGCTCCAATACTGACATTTCCGAGTGTTTGGGTGTCAATCTGAGGACAGGGCAAAGGATTTGGAAAGAGCTGGATGAGTCTAATGGTGATTAAGAAGGTGTTTATTTCAAGAATGTGTTCGTTTTTTTTTTATTTTGCCGACTGCACAGTATAGTAGGGTGAGTCGGTCACCGTTTGGGGAGAAAAAAAAGCTCCATAACGCAATTAACTCCGTCAGACACTTGGAAACAGCATGCTGTACAGCTTGTCAGAGTGTTTTGGTGTCAATCTGAGGCCAGTGCAGAGGAGTCGGAAAGAGTTGGATGATATATCCAGTTAAAATCATGGTGTTTGAAGTGATTACTAGTGATGTCAATGATATACCTCCATTCATCTTGCCACAAGGCCTCAGACTCAACAGGGAGTCCTACATCAAATGACTTGTGGTAGTAGTGCTACCATAGGTGAAAAGGGTGGCTGATGGGAAACCCTATGTCTAGCAACATGACTCTGCACCATGCCACACAAGCATGGGAATCCAGTCAGGGGCGTCAGACAATTTCTGCGACCGCATTATCCCTTACATCTGGACACCTAACTTCTCAGCAAGTAAACATATCTCCATTTTAGTAACCATGGATCAGTGGAACTGACAACAGCATGTGTTAGCAGCAGTCAATGGAGAATCTCAACAGCAGATTTCAAGAATGTATTCGTACAGGAGGACACCATCTACAGGACGTAATTTTTAAAAAATGAAAATTCCCTCATTGTTTCTTAAATGGCATCTTTTAAGGTTTCAATTACTATGAATAAAATATTTTTCTTCCATCAATCTTGGTTTTGTTGGATTGTTAAAAAGTTCCCATTTTTTGGGGTCAACCTCTATTTCTGGTAAATTTTTTTCCTCAAAAATGTATATCTGGTAATATTATATTAAAACACGTATTGCTGATAATATTTTTTTCCAAAAACGTATTGCTGGTAATATTTTTTTTTTCAAAAATATATTACTGGTAATAGTTTTTTTTTCTTCAAAAATTTATTTCTGGTAATAATTTTTTACAAAGTATTTCTGGTATTAAAACCTATTTTTACACTTTTATGATGATTTTTACCTCATTTTCGGTGTTAACTATTTGCCCATAGCTGGGACCCTAACAGGTGCTACCACCCTGGGTCAGGGTGGACCTGGGAACATCAGCAATTAAAAGGTAGTTCCACGCTCCTCAAAACCTCCTGATCAGATGCCTTGCTGTTGGACGTAGTTTATCGTCTTACCCAGGACGCAGATGAAGTTTATCGTCATACCTAGGACGCCCGAAGGAAAGGATTCACCGGCTTAAAAAAAGGAGACCGTTCAGAAATGTTGCAAGAGATTCCGAATTCGTCCGGAGGCATTGGTTAAAGCCAATAGCGATTTTATTGAATAAATTTACTCTTTAATATTTAAAGATATTTTCGTGTAATTTTGGTAAATATATCTCTTCAAATGAGATGGCAGTGTCAATTTCATTTTTGCGTGATTTGCACAACAATTTATCCATCGCACCCTGTATTTAAAAAACACGATTGAAGAAAAGAAATGACACAGTGTTTAACAATATTTAAAAAATATTTCTTCCATCGCCCTCTTGTGTCTTCCTGAAAACTGTTTCTTTGTTGCTATAAAGTTAATCAATCAGTTATCAATATGCTATATATTGATAACTGATTGATACGTTTTCTACGGCTTACATTCGAGGGCTTCTAATTTCTTTGCAGGTTTTTTAAAACCAGAAAATATTTCTAGATTTGTTTGAGATAATAATGATTTAATAATACACGTTTCACTATTTAACCCATAGCTGGTGAAAGAGGTAGATAGATTCATATAATTCCCAAGGTATTTGAGCGTAATTGAATATAACGAACCCAACTGGATTTGGAACACGGCTCTCCGATTAACAATTCCGAGCCATTATCCATTGCATCAACCGCATATTTAAGCTTACAGCACCTGGTATTACCAAGCCGTCACCCATCTATGTACTGACCAGGCTCGACGTCGCTTAATTTCAATGATTGTACGGGAAACTGTGTTTCTATATAGCCGGAAGCTTTGTTGTCCTTTCTTCGCTCTTCCGCACTAAGTTTTTAACTCCATATAGACACGCTACGGCCTAGTGGCATTATCGCCTCGCTTGGGGGTGAAACGTAAAACAAACAAACAAACAAACAAACAAAAAACAACAGAGAATTTAAAGATCAGAAGTCATCGAATAAAAAAGAAAGAAAGAAATCAAAGTTCTTAGTGGGTGTAAGGAAAATGCCGGGAAATTCTTTAACGGCTTTCGCATCACCACGAATTTGAAAAGAGAAAAGCGACAAGGATGTATTGTTGTTAATGGCGATATTAAAAGAGATTTGAATAAATATTCCATAATGTGTGGCAAGCAGAAAGCAGGAAGAGATAGGGGAGAGACAATCAGGCGATGTAACAATGTTCGCTTTTGCTGTTCTTTAGAAATGGGTTCAAAGGGTAGATAGGAGAAAAATGCAGATGAAGCTTTCGTGCTTGCCTGGTAATATTGCCAAATTATACGCGGCTATATAAGTAAGTATGCACGGTTTAAATATGCACATATATATTTGTATATGAGTAGATGCGGTTACATAAAAGTACATTATATATTAACATCGCTTTCTTATTTCTTCATCTATCTATCTATCTATCTATCTATCTATCTATCTATCTATCTATCTATCTATCTATGTCTCTTTATAACGATGTCTCATTATATCTATCTATCTGTGTCTTCTATCTATCTATCTATCTATCTATCTATCTATCTATCTATCTATCTATGTCTCTTTATAACGATGTTATATCTATCTATCTATCTATCTATCTATCTATCTATCTATCTATCTATGTCTCTTTATAACGATGTATCATTCTATCTATCTATCTATCTATCTATCTATCTATCTATCTATGTCTCTTTATAACGATGTTATATCTATCTATCTATCTATCTATCTATCTATGTCTCTTTATAACGATGTCTCATTCTATCTATCTATCTATCTATCTATGTCTCTTTATAACGATGTTATATCTATCTATCTATCTATCTATCTATCTATCTATCTATGTCTCTTTATAACAATGTCTCATTATATCTATCTATCTATGTCTCATTCTATCTATCTATCTATCTATCTATGTCTCATTCTATCTATCTATCTATCTATCTATCTATCTATCTATCTATCTATGTCTCTTTATAACGATGTCTCATTATATCTATCTATCTATCTATCTATCTATCTATCTATCTATCTATCTATCTCATTATATCTATCTATCTATCTATCTATGTCTCTTTATAACGATGTCTCATTCTATCTATCTATCTATCTATCTATCTATCTATCTATGTCTCATTACATCTATCTATCTATCTATGTCTCATTATATCTATCTATCTATCTATCTATCTATCTATCTATCTATCTATCTATCTATCTATCTATCTATCTATGTCTCTTTATAACGATGTCTCATTCTATCTATCTATCTATCTATCTATCTATGTCTCATTACATCTATCTATCTATCTATGTCTCATTACATCTATCTATCTATCTATCTATCTATCTATCTATCTATCTATCTATCTATCTATCTATCTATCTATCTATCTATGTCACTTTCTTTCTTTCTATCTATTGATTTATATAGATAGATAGATAGATAGATAGAACCATACTGTCGAAAGATATGGTTTCGAATAGCGAATTTCCTTCTCCAGTATGATTTTTTGAATATTCTGGGCAGTAGACGAGAATAGATAAATATAGTTTAATAAGTAAACTCTGCGTCTATTCAAATATAAGTATCAACCTAAAATAAAGGTTAAATAATGAAAATCTGTCGGATTAGTAAGTAAAAAATCCATTATTTTTTACACACACACACACACACACACACACACACACACACACACACACACACATATATATATATATATATATATATATATATATATATATATATTATTTATTTAAAAATATGATTCCATCGCTACATAAGAGTTCTCATGTCGGCTCTTGTTTTGAAACATGAAAACTCTTATGTAGCGATGAAATCATATTTTTAAATAAATAATTATATTTAGGCTCTACTTTTGTATCGAGCAATGTTTTTTTTTTAAAAAAAATAACAAAAGAAGATTTGGAAAGTGTAATGGTGATTATGAAGTTATTTGGAGTGATCACTAGTAATGGCGATCTGATGCCTCCATTCATTACCCCACATGACCTCAGACTCAATGCACAGGATGACATCAAGTGCTATGAATAGGTAATGCTGCTCTGGATCAAGAGGCTGGCTGCTGAAAGAGAGTATATTTGACAACATGACTCTGTACCATGCTACACAAGCAGGAGAATCTATTCATGGCTGTCAGACAATTTCTTCGACCTCTTATATCTGCCCCACGTAACTCCCCAGACTGTAACCCCCTTGATTATTATCTGTGGGGCGCAGATGAGCTAGCGATCAATAAAACTCCCTAATATGAACTAAACGCATGGATTATGACAGCATTCATCAACTTGAACAAGGAGTTCACAGATTCCAAAGTCATCAAGAGACTCTGGTTTTTATGGCAATGGCGATTTTATAGAATCAATTTACACTTTAGTATTTCAAGATATTTTTGTGTTTTTTTGTAAATATATCTGCTAAAATAAGATGTCAGTGTACACACACACACACACATATATATATATATTCTAAAATTAAATATAGAATAATTATAGGTTTCTATCTAAGAGCGTTGAGAATCTGCAGTCCCCAATATTTATTTAAAGAAGAAACATACATAGAAAACACATTCAAAAACCTACAATACCCATATCATTTCATCCACAACGCAAGAAGTTAGGCATACAGAATATACAACTGAAACAAATATAATAACATAATACGCAATAATAAATTACATGAAAACAGATACATAATAAAACTTACCAACTCTGCCACGTCCACTATCCAGAACAACTTAATGGTAATATTTTTTTTTGTCAAAAGTCTATTTCTGGTAATATATTTACCTCAAAAATGTATAACTGGTAATATTATTTTTAAAAAAATATACTCCTGGTAATATTTTCTTAACAAAAATATATTGCTGATAATAATTCTTTTAAAATATTTCTGGTATGAAAAACCTATTTTTACACTTTCATAAGCTTTTTTTTTTACTTCAGTTTCGGTGTTAACTATTTGCCCATAGCTGGAGCCCTAACAGGTGCTACGATCCCGGGTCAGGCTGGACCTGGGAACACCAGAAATTAAGAGGGGTTTCCACTCTATTCAAAACCTCCTGAACAGAAACCTTGCTGTTGGACGTAGTTTATCGTCCTACCCAGGACGCGGATGTAGCTTATCGTCTTACCCTGGACGTGGATGTAGTTTATCGTCTTAACCAGGATGGACATATAACTCGAAGAGAAATAAATACAGGAGATTGTTAACGTTCAACACTAGTTCAAACAAAAATAAAGGTAACTTCCAACATCATCCGTACAGAGCGGACAGTGGACTTGAGGTAACTATTTCCTTGAAAAATTGTTTTAACAGAACGATCTTAGAAATTTCAACCGAGTGCCGGACTGGCTACTCGGCCAGTAAATGTCGAATGTTTTCTTATAAAGAAACGATTAATATTACCATTACCATTTGTTCTAAGTGGAATTTATACAAGACACTTCCATTCAGTGAATTCGTGAACAGACCTGTTGGAATGAAATAAAAGACAAAGATTGTCGAATCGTCTTTATCCCAGATTACAACACTTAAGCAGGATTCCGCGTAAACATGGCTGTCAGAAAACGTGAAGCGATAAGTGGATGACTTCCTATCAACACTGTCTTCGTTTCTTCCCTTGATTCCAAACAATTTATTCACAAACACAATAATTTCCTTATTAATATTGGAGCTGCTGGATTAGCTGAGAAGATATAAACTCTGCTTTTGTCTTCGCTGGCATCGTTAAGATTTTCTATATGGTAACTCATTTTACAAAAGTGATCGCAATTTTTCTCTCCAGAATCTTACATATTTATAAGTCTACCGTTTGTCCAAGCCTTGAATATTGCTGCAACATATGGTCCGGTGCTGTTGATATATTTAAAGATTCTTGATAAAATCCAAAGAATTAGCAATATTGTTGGTCCTGACGTGGCATCTCGTCTTCAGTCACATTTCCACCGCCGTCATCCAGCTTCTCTGTGCGTTTTCTATAAGTACTTTCATGGTAATTTTTTGGAGGAATTCCCGGCTATCGTACATAGACTTTATGAATTCAAGATCAGTACTAGATTGGCAGCACAATCTCATCATTGTAAAGTTGAATTGACTAAATGGAACCGTAAGTTCTATGCTAACAGTTTCTTCAATCGCTCTTCTCACTTGTGGAACGCCCTTTTCCGGCACCATGCTTTCCAGTCAACTTTGATCTTCAAAAAGTTTAATCCAGTGTCAATCATTACTGTCTTCTTGATTATTCGTCTTTTTCTATTTTTCTCTATCCTTAATAATGTTTCTCTTTTTTTTTTCTTATTCTTTCTCACTTATTAACCCCTGTGTCTTAGTGACTTTATTGCTTTGCATGGGGTGAAATGATTAAACAAATTGCTGGATGAGCAGAACAAATACAAGAGAGATATGTTTATCTTCAATGAGCTTCTGGTTGAAGGTTTAGACATATTCAAAAATTATCCAGTTATTTAATAAAGTCAAAAACGAAAAACAACAACAAAAACGCCTACCCCAGGTAATGGCGCCTTAGTCTCCTTTAAAACAGAACCGTTGAGACATCACACACTTATTTCATTGAGCCTTTCATTTTACAAGGCAAATGACAACGCCCTCTTTCGCGATCACCATTTGCGGTCTCACTGCATTCTCCTTAATCACATCGACGGTCCGAAATCTATTTTTCGACGAAATCTATTTTTCGACGAAATCTATTATTTCGACGGCCTTAGCCCGAATCCACAGGAAACCAAATTTTAATTTTTAAATGTCTGTGGTGTTCTGACAGACAGACTTGGTTGATATGATGTTTTGTCAAAAAAAAAAAAAAAAAAAAAAAAAGAAAAAAATCAACAGCAACAACAACAAAACAATAAAAAAAACCTCAACAAACCAAGAATAATCGCTTCTGTCAGTCCCCACTTCCGACTGCGTAATCCAACGAAAGAGTGTCTATTCAGACAAGCATAGTAAACTGATCCTCACTGGTTGCTTAGTAAGCTGTCTCAAAGCCGCGCAACTGATTTTCGAGACATGTAACATGGCTGGATAGTTTCCGGACGGACCTTGTATACTTGAACGAAAAGAGGCGACGGAAAGATGAAGATGTGTTCT